AGAAGCCTCGGTTCCAGTGACTGGGAGGAACAGGCTGTCTCAGCCTCAGAGAGGCAGGACATGGCTTCCTCCCAGCAGGGGGGTGGACCTAAACAAACACAGCTTCCTACACTACCCTGGCCCCAGACTGTCCCAGCCAGAGTAGAGAGAAGGGAAGCAGCAAGTGACCCAGGAGTCAGGCACTTGGAGAGGGGCTTGTTTGACCAAGACCCCCTCACCCTTCCTGGAGAGGTGGTGGCTTCTGTCCATTGTGGCCTGAAGCTCACACCACTGAGGCTCACCGCAGTCGTCTGCAGGATCTCCCCATCAGGCTCCCTCCCTCCCCTGCTCACCTCCAGGTCCAGAGGTTGAATTAGGGGCTGGAACTCACTGCACTCCACTGTGATGGGACCCAGGATAGGTAAGTCTGGAGGAAGTAAGGAAGAGCATTGGGAGAGGGACTGGAGGCTTGGTTCCCAGAGAAGGGGAAGGCTATAGAGTCAAAATGGTGCTGAAGGTGGGAAGGTAGTACACAGCACAGAACCAAGCACCTGCCCAGAGCACTGTGAATGAGGGAATGACCAAGGAGTAGGAGAAGAACTTTTTACTTAGCTGGAGGCAAGGAACCCAGCCAAACCACCCTGATGAGACACGGAAGACAACAGAAATACAGTGCTGATCCCCTGGCAAACCTGGTCCCTCTGTGAAGGAGACAAAGGTAGAGACAGACAAGTCGAAGAAAGAGCCAAAGAGGGAGAAAGAACATGTGCAGAGATGGGCAGAAAGACGGGAGACAGACCATCAGGTCTGGGCAGGAGCTTTAGGGCCAGGAGGGAGAGCAGCCTTGGAAAGAATGTGGCAGCAGAGATATGGAAGATACAGGTAGTGAGAGGAAAAAAGGAAAAGGCAGAACACACAAGGACAGACACCTGCAGGGTGAGACAGAGACTTACAGACAGAGGCCCAGCAAGATCCTTGCAGAAGAGAGGGGGTGGGGGATGGGGAGGAGGGGAGGGGAAATATCTGGACACCTCTAGGAACCAAGCTTGGTGCATGGCAAGGAAGCACTTGGGGCGGGGGTGGGGTGGGATGAGTGGGCAGCGTTTTGGGGAGTCAGAACCAGACCCAGTGTATCTTAGGCAGGCCGAGGGCAGTGGAGGAAACAAAGGATCTTTAGTCTAGGTACCCCCAGCACCACCTACAGTGATAGCCTGGGGTTTCCCTCCAGACTGCCTATCTTTCCATCCTCCTGTACTGTGCAGGTCTCATGCCCACAGAGGCAAGGCTGGGCCTGCTCCCAGGGGCCTGGCAGTGACAGCTTCTCAGGCCAAGGGACTACAGAAGGATACAGGTGGGGCAGGATACAGTGCTTGGAGCCTGGCGACAGACTAGGATCGCTCACACAGAGAGGCCAGCTGTTCCCACCAGGGGCAGACACCAGATAAGGGTGAGGGCCAGATGTGGCTCCCACAGAACCCCACTATCAACTGACCACGTGCCCTCAGGCAGTAGCTAGCTTCCCTGTCTGTGCAGGAAGGGGCTAAAGAAAATAATCTCCCTTGGGCCAGGGCCTGTCTCGCAAGTGCAAGGTCCTGAGTCTGATCCCCAAAACAAAAAAAAATAAAAAATAAAAAACCAGAAAAAAAGAATTTCCCTCAGCAGTTCCCACAGTGTGATCCACAGAACCCGTGCACCAACCTCTGCACCCTTGTTCGAGGAGGGCCCTACCTGTGCCCCATTCAGGTGGCATTGTACCCTTCCCACTCCTCCAAGCATCACCTCTTCCAGGAAGTCTTCTAGATAACCCTGTCTTTGGGATCCATCCTCCTTTGCTCCCAGTGTATCTGCTCTTGTTCTCTGCAACCCTTCTGTGTTCAAACATGAGCCATCCCAGGAAAGGCAGCGGGAGTGAGGGAAAGAACTAGCAGCCCTATGTTCACATTCGAGCTCTGCATCACTAGCTTTATGACAATGCTGTGAAATGTTCTCATCCTTTTTAATAGGTATTTGCCCAGAGAGGGCAAATAACTTGTCCAAGGTCACTCAGCAAGTTAATAGCAAACTGGGGGCCAGATGCCAAAGCTTTTTCCTCTCTGTTCCAGTGCCCTTGGGATTTCTCTTCCTTCCACAGACTTCACATTGCTGAGCCTCTGCCCACCTTGGGCAATTCTCCACTGGCCCTGCTGGCTTCAGACAGCAAGCTGTTTTTCGGATGCCAATAACTGGGGAGTGAATGAGATTGGGAGTTATTTTCTTCCAGGCTGGGCTGTCCTTGCCTACACTGTCCGATTCCGGCAGCTGAGAACAGATAGTGAACCAGCCTAGACTCCATCATGGGGTGCCAGGCATTCAATGCCCAGTTTCCTTCTGTCCCTTTCCAGGACCCCATTTCTCTGTCTGTATAATAGATGGAAGGAGGTGGCCAAGGTGGTCAATTGGTCCCTTTTATACTGATAAGCAGAGTTATTTTCTTCCAGGCTGGGCTGTCCTTGCCTACACGGCCCGATTCCGGCAGCTGAGAACAGATAGTGAGCCAGCCTAGACTCCATCATGGGGTGTCAGGTATTCAATGCCCAGTTTCCTTCTGTCCCTTTCCAGGACCCCATTTCTCCGTCTGTATAATAGATGGAAGGAGGTGGCCAAGGTGGTCAATTGGTCCCTTTTATACTGATAAGCCCAGTCCTTGGGGAAAGCAGTGGAGCAGAGCCTCTCCATAAGAGCAGAGCCTGTCTTCCCATTAGTGTTGGGGATTTGGCTATCTCCAGAGTGCCAGCCCAGGCCTCTGCTGCTCCCTGCAAGTATAGGTGCCACCCTCACAGTCTGCATTCCAGAGCCTAATATTAAAGCTTGCGATGGTGGAAAATGATGCCCATCTCAGCATGTCAGAGCTCCCTGTGGGTACAGCCTGATTTCATCCAGTGCTGGAAACTCTGACCCCAGCCCAGGGCTGGGCAGAAATGGGGTGCTGGGAGGGGTTCAGTGCATAACCTGTCCTCCTGCCTCTCCATGATCCCTTCCTGTCACACTCCTTCCCCAGTCCAGCCTTTCTTGAAGGCTTAAAGCCTGCCCTCAGCCAGGCTCTGTGCTGATACAGATACCCAGGATGAAACCAGATAGCAGTCCCTCCCTCCAGGAGTTCCCAGGTGACCAGAGAGTCACAAACACAAATCACATGGATAAAAAAGCTGAAGTTTGAAGCTGGCAGAAACAGCTGGCTGCACAGCTGGGTGCCAATAGGATAGGAAAGAGGCCATGAACAGGGCCTCAACAGGGATTTCATTCTAGGAGGGCATTGGAAATGCTTGGAGAAGTGACTGCACCTGGCGTGTTTGTGGGGACAGTGAGCTGCCCTGTGCAGTCAGAGTAGAAGTCACTGTGTAGTATTCGAAAACTTAAGCCCAAGAAGCTGATGGGACCCCGTCACAAAGAGCTTCCCAAGTTGTTGGGCATATAGACTTTGCCTTAGAGGCAATTGGAGCTATAGAAAGTATGTGAAAAGGTCAGTGGCCATGCTTCAGTGGCCCAAATGTGTGTCCTGGCAACACTCATCATAAGCTCATCATGCGGTGCTTTTCTGAGTACAAAACACCCTTCTGTTCATTTTACAACCAAGGCTATGAGGAGCCCAGTGACTTGCTGAGGCCACACAGCTAGCCAGTGGCAGGCCAGGACTTGCACTAAAGCCCTCACTGGTGGCAGCACCCTCCCTGGCTGTCCCTTGGCCCTCCTTCTTGATGAGTCTGTGCTGTAGGCTCCCATGTCCTCAGCCATGCCTGGTAGACAATGGCCTGGGGGGCTGAGCTCCTCTCCAGACTCAGGGTCTTTCATGCCCAGACATTTCTAAGACAGTTCTTTGAATGAATTTGCATAGTAGCTGCACCTTCTCCAGGACTAAAGACTGGTACAGAGCATGGCTGGGTCCCCTTACAGAGTTAATTTAAGCACAGACAGCAATGAAAAGGTACCATAAAGAGGGGAAGGTGGTGTGGTCTCAGGCACACAACTACCTCTCTTGTGCTTTGGCCCCTTGTTTTAGGCCTAAGCAGACAGACCTGGGTTCCCTCTGTGCTCAGAATTCACCCTTCCCCCAGACCCGAGATCCTATTTTTAAGGTCATCTTGGGTCTAGATGGGGTAGCCAAGAGCCAGAAGGGGGAACAGAAAGTCCCAGCACAGGGTCCCTGACCAAGCTGGGAAACCACCAAAAAGTGCCTGGTCTCCTTCCCGCTCTTGCTGGATCTGGCTCAAGACGCAACAGATGGAGCTCAAGCACGTTGTTGTCCTCCTAAAAGACCACCCAAGGGCCGTGCCAGAAGGAATTTCCCCAAATCACAGCCAAACCTGAAGCCTACCCAGAGACACCCCTACCCCTTCCTGCCTTTGTCTCTTGATTGTGACTTTTAGGAAGAGTTTGCCCAGATGGAACGCCTGCCATTCCAGCCCCACATCATCACTAGTCCCACCAACCTGTCCAGCCTCAGCCTCCACTTCAGTGATTGAGCCTTTCTACACTGTCCCAGAGCAATTTTTATGCTTTCACACTTCCACGCTTTTCTGTGATGTTTCTTCTTACAGGAAGCCTTCCAGAACCCTCTGCATGTGGCTATGACTTCTCTGCTTTGTTTCCAGAATAGCCTTGATATAAACCTAGTGTCACGGCACCAAGAACCTGTCCCTGTCCTGAAGTCCATGCCTGCTGCATTCCCCACCACTTCCCACCTCCACATTCTCTGGGAGCCCCTTGAGAGCAGGGACTGGGCTGCTTGCTTCTGGGGCTCAGGGAACTGTCTGTGTGTGGAACAAATCCTCACTCTCACTTTTAGAACCAGCCAAGTGCTACCTCTATCCACCATAGTGACCCTGGGCAAGTTATGGGCCACTTTAGCTCGATTTCCTCACCCCCTCAAAGTGGTTAACCCAGCCCTGGATTTCTGTCCCATAGGCTCACCAAGCCCAGTATCTTGGATGTGGCAGACAGAGAAGAAGGCCCAGGAATGAAGGGTGAGAGAGTCGCCTCCAAAGAATCTCCCATAGGACAAACTGCCCTAAGCAGTCCCGGCAACTCAGCCCAGCTGGGTGTTATCTTATGGGAATGTCAGCTCAGGCTCCCAAATCTGTTCTTTCAAGAAAAAATAAACCCAAATAACTCTAGTTTTATTTGAAATTTCCAAATTTTTAAGAACTTACAACTAACTTAAAAATACTCAATGAGCGAGCATTGTGCAGGCCCCCAGCAAGTCTCAGGGCCAGAGACAACTCTCAGGACAACTACAGAGGTCACCATACACCTTGAAAATGCACAGCCCTTTGCACTGCCCCATGGGGGCTGTGGGCCAAGTCTCCACCTTATCGTCCGCCTCTGAGGTCCTTTTGATATCCCGCCACCGTGTAGGAAGAGCAGGTGTGAGAGAGAGGCCTTTCCTTCTGCTTGCACAAGGAAGTTAGGAAGAAACAAAGAAGTCCTGTAATGTAGTTGGTGAGAACCAAGCAGGGCCTTGAGTGGAGTCAGGTTAAGGGCAGGGGCATGGGGAGAGGAACAAGGAGCCCACAGAGGGAGGTGGGCCAGAGGGGACTGCATTGCTTCCACGATCCGGAGGAGCTGAGAGACAGAGACTCCCACGAGAAGAAAAGTAAGCTATTCAGAGGCCTGGTGGCAAGACCTGCAAACAAATTCCCTGGTGAGTTTGAGGCAAAGGGTGACAAAGCTGGCATTTGTGAGGCACCTTGGGGTTGACTAAGGACAGTTACCTTGTTGACTCACATGGTCTTCATACAGGCGTGAGAGGTGAGGCCTGTTAGTCCTATCTTCCAGGTTCAGGGCAATTTAGTTGTTAGACCCAGGGAAATAAATTTTCTTTCTGTAAGGGATAGACTGGAACATTCTGGAGAGAGTGTCCTGCCTTGGCCCTCCTTGGCCCATGCCTTCACCCTCCAGAAGCTGACCTGGAGTTGTGTCCAGGATCTGTGAACTCTCCAAGGCTCTATCTTGGTATTTTTTGGCACCTGTTACTGGGTTTCTCCTGAGGGTTCAAATGTAGGTCTCAGTTGTGAGTCCTGTCTCCCTGATACTGTGGTCCTTTGGATCAAGGGCCACACATCCTTCTCACCACTTTGCCGTTCCCAACCCTTTCCTAACGCTGCTCTCTCCAGCTACGGGAAGGATATTGACTGACCCGAAACGGACTGACCAGCTAAATTGGACTGGTAGAATGAGAGACTGTTCCAATACCTTTGACAATTCACAGAAGGGAAGCTGGACAAGAATCAGAAATGGCCCTACAGAGATTGTCTTTACATTTATTCTAAGGCCATCAGTGAAGCCATCATTTTATCTTTGGGGGCCCAGGAGTCAGACAGATCTAAGTTCCGGTCCAAGCTTCACCATTTTCCAGCCCTGGGACCCTGGTAAGCTGCTCCCTCCCTCTGAGTCTGTCTGTTTATAGGCACCATGGAGTCTTCACAGCATCCTCAAAGAACTGCTGGGATGATGGGTGTGTGAGCGAAGCCCATTCGTACACCCAGGGTTTCGGTCTTTGGCAGCCCCTTCTTCTCCTTAGATCAAGATGCCAGGAATAGCTCCTCCCCCTGGGCCTGTTGTACAGGGACAGCCACTTCTGCAAGGAGGAAGGGGAGCCAGAGAGCTCTGCTTCCAGCCAGGGCCTTTGCTGATTCCCTTCCCCTTACTCAGCCCTTGACTGTCAAACTCCTGCCCAGTTCTCTGGTTCTAGACATTGCAATGTTTGTTACTGCCACAAAGCAAGCATGAAGGCAGGTATGTGTTTGTGGCAGAAGGACAGACAGGTGAGAGAAGGACTGGCCCCAGATAGGAGGAGAGACACTGAGTGAACAACTATGAGGCACTGCATTAATGCTGACACAATGGGTTGATAAGGCCAAGTATGTTGGATGCTGCAATAAGGGACTCCACCACTGTTCCAAACCGGGAGTGTCTCAGGGATGAGGCAAGGTCAGTGTTTATGAAGATCTTGGAATTTGTTGTTAAACCTTTCGGTACAGGAGAGAAGGGATTGGGGAGACTTGATTAGGGACAGGAGAAGAATCTCAGTAGGATGGAATAAAAATCTCAGTATAATAGCTCAGCACTGGTAGAAACCCATAGAAAAGTGAGAAGTTTGCAGAAGGGACTCAAAGAATCTGAGAGCCAACACTCTGTTAATGGTTTCCCTTGAAAAATCAACCCGACTTTTATGCTTTCCCTATAACAAACAATCAAACAATTTGCTGGTGCTGGACAGACTGGGAAGAGACAAAAATGCAAACGAGGACAGTAGAATAGCAGCGTTACACTAATGTCAATAGAAAGAAGTGGTTTCAGGGGGCTTTAGTGCACAGGCCAAATGCAGAGGGAGCTGAGATGTCTTGGGTCCTCAGGATATGGCCTTTCCACTGGAACGGAGAGATTACAGTCACTGCACTACAGATGAGGAGTCAAAAAGCCATTGAACTAAGATCACACTGCAGGGTGGTGGCTAGAGCTTCAAAATGTGGGTCTTAGCCCCCAAAGTCAGTGAATGTGCTTAGGGAGAAGGCAGCCAACTCCTCAGGTTCTGTGATTGACTAGAGCTTTGATGAGGAAGGGAAAGAGACAATCCAGAGATAGATGATGGTGATGTAAGAATGGAGGAGTTGATTTGGAGGAGGACCAGGTGGACATGGGAGGGGACGGTTTTGGTTGGACCGGGTTGCCTTGAGTATGTTTGAAGATTTACCAGCAAAGGGGAGAAAAATGGCCCTCAGTGGAGGTCTGCCATGTGCCTAACTGGCACAGGGTTAGGTGCCTTCCTTGTCTCATTTCCTCAAGGCAGCACAGGGGAGAAGAATTCCTGTCCTCCCCCACTGCTAGGCTCAAGGCTGAGGCCCCTGTAGCAAAAGGAAGATTAACAAAAGAAAGTGTATCAATTTATTTAATGTAAGTTTCACACAACACAAGAGCTTTCAGGAATAAAGACCCAAAGAAACAAGGAAAACTGGTTCTTTTTTATGACAAGTTTTATGAAGTACATAATTGCAGAGAAGTATGATTAGACAAAGGGAGAAATGGTCTACTGGAAATACACTGAGAGAAACTTTACAAAACCTGTGTGCTTGGATTCTTCTCTGGGTCTTCAAAGATAAGGATATTGCCTTTCTCTGTGTATGGGGAGATGCCTTTTGAACAAAAGTCTTATGATGTTCTTCAAAGAAAAGGGTAGAAAGTCAGAGAGTAACCCGCCAAAGTCATATGACCTGCTACAGGAGAGAAGGGTGAGGTGAAGGTAAGAATGATATTCTGGCTCCTGCTTTTCTCAAATGTCAAGGTACCATATTTCGGGGTAGTGGGTCTTGAGCCTTATCAATAGAGATTGTCATCCTCACCTTATAGATAAAGAAACTGGGGCTCAGAAAGATCAAGAGGCATGTCCGGGTTCACACTGTGGACTGGTGGTGGAATCAGGATCCCAGCCCAAATCTTAAAACAGAAAGCTTATACTTAGCTTCCTGTTTTCCTGGGATTTGCCTTTTGTGGCTGGGAGGTAGTTGAGGAGGCAAGAAAGATCCTGAGCCTTGCCAGCAAAAATGGACTGAGCATGGGGCCTCCCTCCCAGGCTGCCCATGATCACCAGGACTCAACTGGAAGGAGAAATACTAAGTCCTGCTCAGGAGGGGTAGCCTTGCAGCAGGAGGCTCCAATTAATTAGCAAGTGTGCTGGCTGGCAGATGTTAGAGCTATTGCTGCTCTCAGAGTCCAGAGGTTCAGAGCCAGTGCTCCCTCCCCTACCCAGGAGCTTGGTCTGTGGACTTTGTCCTCCAGAACCAGCCGTTTCTCTGAAGTTTAGAGTAATCTCAGGAAGTCTTTGAGCCTCGCCAGGGGAGATTGAGGTGGAAGCTTCAGGAAGACCAGAGGCAAAGCTATAGAAGGAGTCCACCTGAGGCAGGTGAGCAGGCTTTAACAATGAGCAGGAGGGCAGGGACTGGGGTGAAAAGGTTTTGCACACAGGGAGGATGAACCCCATGTACCCAGAAGCCAAGTCAGCAGTCTAGGTTCTGGCCCAGGGCTGAGACCACATGTTCCCAGCAGTCTTCTTGTTAGTGGGGTTTTGTGGTGCTGTGGACTCATTTTAGATATTCTTTTCAGGTTCTTGTTGTCCTGAACAAAGAATTGCTCAAAACAAGTGAAAAAAGTAGCAAGATTTTACATTTATTACAGGTAGGAAAAGAATATACTCTGCAGAGTGAGTGCTGGTCAATTAAAGTAGGAAAAGAAGTATCTTCTGCAGGGTGAAAGTGGGCCACTGCAAAAACTTACAGTGGCAATGAGGTTGACGGTGGAGGTCTTATGTATCCCGCACTCCTTAGCCTGACACCATCAGATGTAGGCCAATCTATGAAAAACCTGCTTGATCTGACACCACAAAAACCAAAAGATAATATTTTCTGATTAGTCCCAGGCACAGGTGCAGATCTTAGGAACTATGTTTCCCAAGCATGTGTCCTGGACCTCCACGATTGACAGGTCATGCCCACTTGCCCAACCAGCCGGCCACACCCTAATCTCCTGCCTCACATTGATCTTGTGTTCCTCCCCTCATCCATCCCCTGAGTTTTCTCCAGAGCCGGGGCTTCAGGTCAGTACCTTCTGCCCCACCCACCCCCTAACCCCAGGGTCAGCTCTAGCCCTGTGTCGACTTGGCCTGGTCCCTTGCTGGTGGGCTGGCATCACTGCCAAAGGTGACCTGGCTAGTTCTGGGTGGGCCACTACAGGGAAGAATGCTCACTGCTTCTCCTCATCGGCTCTGTATAAGAAGCACAGAGGCATGGTGAGTCTAACATACCTCTGGGCTTCAGCCCAGCATTAACCAGCAGTGTGAGATTCCTCTGAGTCTCCTGTCCTTACTAGAAGCACAGAGATCATGGACCTGTGGGCAGGGTTCGTGAGCCAATGCATGTGAAGTGTGTGGCACTGAACCTAAATTGTAGTGGGTGACAGGTCTCTGCTAGTGCCAGGAACTGAGTCAGAAACAGTCCCCACAGTCTCTCTGGGAGCGTTTGCTTTGAACTACCTCATCTCCTCTTCTCTTTCAAGTGACCTGGAGAGTCTCCCCCATACTCCCTTTCTCCAGGCCAACCCCTCTCCTCCTCCCTTTTAGGGGCATGTTTTCCCTGTTGTTTTTGTTGCTGCTGTTGTTTGAGAGTTTGTGCCCTAAAAGGAACTCCCCCCACCAGACATATTCACTTCCATTTCCTCCGTCAAATTCCTCAAGCTACTTGTGCAGACATTTCTCTGGAAAGTTATACAAATGATCAATAAGTACCTGGAAAAATACTGACCATCACCTGTCAAACCACACTGAGACGTCTTGTCATACCTATGAATATGGCTATCATTGAAAAAAGAGACAATAACAAGTGTGAGCAAAGATGTAGAGAAAACCTACCTTGCTGGTGGGAGTGTAAAACAATGCAGCCACTGTGGAAAACTGTTCAGCAGTTCCTCAAATAATTACACATAAAATTACCTCATGACCCTGCTATTTCACTCCTAGTTATGCACCCAGGAGAATTGAGGATGTATGTCTCAGAAAAATTTGTACATAGATGCTTCTAACACTTGAAATAACCCAAATGTTCATTAACTACAGAATAGATAAACTAAATATGATCTAGCCATACAACAGCATATTATTCAGCCATAAAAAGAGTGAAGTACTGATACATATTGCAACATGGATGAACCTTGAAAACATTATGTTAGTTGAAAGAAACTAATCACAAAAGATCATATTTTTATTTATTTTTGTGCTGAGGATCAAACTCGGGACCTTGTGCTTGTGAGGCAGGCAGTGGAACCACTGAGCTAAATCTCCCACCCAAAAGATCACATATTTTATGGTTTTGTTCTTTTGAAATGTCTAGATGAGCCAAATCCATAGTCTAAAATAGAATTGGAGTTGCCAGGGGATATGGGGAAGAAGAGTGGGGAATGATTAGTAATGATGTGAGATGTTTCCCTGGGTTAATGCAAATGTTCTTTACCTAACTAGTAGTGATGATTGCACAATATTGTGAATATACTAAGAAATGCTGGATGGTGACTTTAAAAGCATGACATTTTGTGATATGTAAATTATATCTCAATTTTTAAACTAACCCTCAGGTTCTCAGATCCTATGTGTGCGGGGTGCAAAACCTTGGCTTGTGGAGGAGGCTCAGGACTTCAGTAGCCTGCCTAGAGTTTGCCTGCTAGGGCTGGAATGCAGGGGGAGGGAGTCCTGGGACCGAGATGTCCCCAGGTCAGTGTTCAGGATTCAGAGACCAGATTGAATGAGGGGAAACTCCTGCCTGTGGTGAGCGGGTCATGGAACAATGGAGAAGGCTTCCTGCAGGAAGTGGGGCCACAAGAGGGAGGAAGGCCGTGGAGAACTGGGCTGCATAGACACAGGTGGTCTCTATCAGATGGCTGGGTGGAGTCTCCTAAGGCTGGACTTTCAGGCTCCCCACCAAGAGTCAGAGTCAGGACGCCCTAGGAGACACCTTTGAAGATCAGCTCTCACTGCTATGATTGGGATACTGCCACGGTTACCATCGTTACGATGGGGGAGAGCCAACCGGCACAACGGGGCCGAGAAGCAAGACAGCTCTGCCCCTTGAGCCATGGTTCCACTTGGTCTATTTGTCCAGGAGGGGGTTCAAAGGAGTGGTCTCTGAGGGCCTTCTCTGTCCTGGCCCACTGCATGGTTTGATGTATGATTTGGAGATTGGACTGTTGGCTCTGATTACAAGCAAGCTGGTGCCCTATGGGGGACTGTTGTTGCTCCAAAATAAACCCTGGAAAAGCCTTTATTCTCCAACTCTGGGTGGTGTCTTGACTGTAGGGAGAGGGAAAGGGGACATTACTGGAACCTCTACATCAGGTCCTAGTCTCCTGTGGGCCGTGGTAGTGCAAGGTTTATTAATTAATATATAGACAGAAATGAGACTTAAAGAAGAAGCTGAGCTTTGGCCTAATCCAAGCTGCTCTGGGCGGCAAAGACCTCAGACCCCGAGCTTGCTACGTCTTTATTCAGGACATCAGCAGAAACAAAAGTAGCAAATGACTCAGAGAGTGCTGCAATGATCCTTGAACAATGAGGAAATCTGCAAGTGAAGATTTGGTTCCTCCCACGGATGTCTTCAGCTGGTGTAGTGCTGCTCTGGAGCATCATGGCATCATGGGACCATTGAGGTCTTAGTTGTGACCTGAGGTGAAAACAGTTAATGTCTTGACAAGCCAAAGCTGGCCTGTAGACAGGAAAACTAGGCCCTAGTCATAATTTAATTATGAATTATGAAATGATTTTTCCCGGAAATCATGTAGAATTGCTCCCAACTCTTGACCCTACACCTGTCCCAGACTGCCTATCCTAGTCTGAGAAAGACACAGGCCTCAACTCAGCCTCTAAGAATCCAGGCTTTCAGCTGGAGGCCTAAAGCCACCTGAGACTGCACAAACCATTCCACTCCTGGGGCTATTGCTCAAGGTTCCATGTATGGCAGTGCCTGCAGCTTCTCCTTGGGAGGGAGGTGTGTGCTGGGAACAGAGAACATGAAGTAGGTAGTCCTCAGTGGGAGGCAGGGTAGATCCTTTCAGAAAGGTCTATTCCAGCATTGTGACGTAGGAATCAGAGAGGCTGAAAGGGCTTTAATTCTTGGATTCTCACCAGCAACCAAGGTCCCTCACCTCAGAAACAGGTTGGTCCTGAGCAGTTCAGAGCCCATACTAGTCATCTTTCTGTTACTGTGACAAAATACCTGAGAAAATTAACTTCTAAAGGGAAAATTTTATTTTGGCTCACAGTCTTACAGGTTTCAGTTCACAGCTGTCTGGCTCCACTGTTTTCTGGACCTGTGGTAAGGCAGAACTTCATGGCTAAAGGTCGTAGGACAGTAAGGAAGGGACTGGAACAAGATATAGCCCCAGAAACATGTTTTGTGAACTACTCCTTCAGTTAAACTCCTCTTCCTGAGCCTCCCCCACTTCTTAAAAATGCCATCAAGCCACAAGTCCATCAGTGGGTTGATTCACCAATGAACATGATACAATCACTTCCCAAAACTCCACCTCTGAGCAGTTCTTCCCCTCAGGTTGGGGTGGGGATGGGGTGGGTAGTACTTCATATCCAAACTAAAACAGGCCCGAGTTGGGTAGGGGATTTGGTTCAGTGGTTCTGCAGCCTGCCTCGCAAGGGCAAAGGCCTAAATTCAATCCCTGGGACCAAAAACAAAACAAACTAAAACAGGGACATTCTCTGGTCATCTTATCTCCTGACTGACTGTCCCACAGGGCCAGCTAGTGAGGGGCCCCAGATGCCAAACAAGGGCAGCAAGGCTACGATGGGCACAGAAGACATACCCAAAGGCAAAGCAAGCCCAGATCCTCAGAACTCCAGGACACGTGTGTTCCAGAGCATCAAGGTACCTCATGGGACTCAGACAGGGATGAGACCTCTGAGCCTGGCAGGGCTAAGCTATGTATAAATGCTAAGCAAGTTTCTTCCTGCCTCTGCTTCTTCAGCTGGAGAGCGCATGGCTATGAGGATCAAAGGGATGATCTGTGAAAACACTTAGCTTGGTGTCAGGTACACAGAGGTATCCAGGATATGTTCTCTCCTGCCAGAGATGAAAGATGCACAGTCCTGTGGACAGTAGGTGTTGAGGACCCTTACCTCCCATTTCTCTAGAGAAATAGAGAAGTCCCCTGGAGATCTTGAACCTGTATGGATACTAATGAGTTCTGACTCTACACACGTGGCCCTGAACAGCTAACATCACCGGCACTACTGGGTGCCAGCCCCTGTGTTAAGTATTATCACATGTGATTTTTTTTCATGTGACTGTTTTTAAATGTGGTGCTGGAGATGGAACCCAGGGTCTGGGCCAGGCTTAGCAAGTGCTCTACCCTGATCCACAGCCACAACCTACATGATCTTATTAGTTCCCACTGTAACCCTAGGAGACAGGGCTTTGTCCTTGTACAGATGAAAAAACTAAGACTCAGAACAGAGTGAATATATTAAGCAAAGATTTTCTTTCCCTAGAAAGTCTGCTAGTTTTTTCAGGAGGAGGCCTATAGGCAGGCTGGGAAATGTGGTGAGGCAGAGATGGGCTGTTTTGGGTTGGGGTCGGGAGCAATGGTGTCCAGGGCAACTCTGAGGGAGGACTAGGTGGGAATGGGGTGGCAAGGGAGTGGAGAAGGGTGGTAGAAGAGGGAGGACGTTCCAGCTCTAGGGAACTCTGAAAGTCAGGGGAGGGACATCCCTAGCATTTCCTGGTCCCATGAAGTCCCTATTTTCTGTCATGTGGGTCTCTGGTACCCCCAGGTCCCCAGGGCAGCTTTTCTAGTTTGTAAGCCTGTGTGAGAGCCGCTGGCTACTCCAATAATTACCTAACACACACACATTCTCTCTCTCTCTCTCTCCTCTCCCTCCTTCCTCTTACTCTTCCCTCTCCTTCTTCTCTGTGTACCACTTTCTCTGATTCTGTTTCCCCATCTGTATCCCTTGTTCTTTTCATGGCCTCTCTCTCCCTTTGTCCCCACCACCGTTTCTGTCCCCCAACTCTCCCCTCCTCTCACTTTGTTTCCCCCATCTCCCTGTCCCCCATCACTGTGTTCTTCCTTCAGTTCTTCGTCCTATGCCACAGCCTGCTGCAGCTGGCACAGCTCATGATCTCTGGGTACCTCAAGAGTTCCATCTCCACCGTGGAAAAGCGCTTCGGCCTCTCCAGCCAGACCTCGGGGCTACTGGCTGCCTTCAATGAGGTACTGCTGGTCTGGTCCCAGCTGCAAGGCCAGCCTCTCTGCTAACTTATCTTACTGCCCACATAGACCCTTCCCCTGTCAGTGCCCTTAGGCAGTGCCTGCCCAACACTGCTCCTCCCTGTGCTGGACCAGAAATCAGAGCCCTCCTGCCCAGGAATGTCCTGGTGTTTGCTGTTGTCTTCTAAGACCTAGCGGTCCTGATCTTGGGAGCACTCTTCTGGGGAACATGGGACATTTTAGAACTAGTCATGCTCCCCGTCCACTCTGCTTTTGGCTTCTTTACCCTCTCTGGCATCTAGCTATTGGCTGTCCCAGGAAGAGAGAAAAGCACTTCTGCTGTCTTCAGAGAGGCTTAAATTACATCCAGGGCCTTCTCTGACCTTGGCATGGCAGGGGAGGGAGTGACAACCGTAGAGGAGTGTCTGTCCTCAGAGTTGCCTCAAGATCCACAGGCCATTGCCTACAGCCCACAGATAGACAGGGAGCCTCCAGCAAGCAGCTCTGGGTGGATCTGGAGAGCAGAGTCCAGTTGTGCCCAGCCCTTTCCTGCCAGATGTTTTCAACCTTGGAGAAGGAAGCTGCTCCCCCCCAAGCAGAATCCCATAAAATTCTCTCCCTTTGTGTCACATGTCACATTCCTTCCGACCCAAGGCCTGCAGAGTTCCCAGATGTGTTTCAGCACACCACACCCAAATCCCAGAAAAGGAAAGTCAGTTATTTACCCAGTGGAGAGTGTCTGTCCTTTCCAGGACCAGTCCCGCCACCATCCCTCTGCTGTTAGGACCCTGCTTCCTCATGAAGAGGCTGAGGCTCACCTATGATCATTGGCCCAGAAGCAGGGGGCAGAGGCATCTTCCTGACCTACAAGCTCAGAAGTCCCCTCTAGCACCTGCAGGCTCAGCCTGTGAATATGAGGCAGTGATGGTGAACCTTTTAGAGCGTTCAATGAAAAACACCCCACTGAGGTACACATGCCATAGGTTCGCCACCACTGGTCTAAGACATGAAATTCCAGGCCTCGTCCTTTGGCTTTAAACTTTTTCTATTTGCGTGTCTCATTTGTGACATCCCTAAAATTCAAAACTCCTTTCCTCAACCTCCTACCCTATTCCATGTCCCAAATGAAGTTGATCTTCTAGCTTTATCCTCATTCCCTGTCCTAAAGGAGCAGTGAGGCACTGTCTAGCAGACCCCAGAATCTGAATTCATAAGAGAGACCCAAATGATTCTTATTCAGGAACCCATCTATTACACAGCCAGGGGAACACTGAGATCGGCAATAGAGGAAGGATGATACTGGCCCTTGGCCCTGGCCTCCGTTTCACTTTAATGGGTCACCTTGTCCTTTTGCAGGTGGGTAACACAGCATTGATTGTGTTTGTGAGCTATTTCGGCAGCCGAGTGCACCGGCCCCGCATGATTGGCTATGGGGCTGTCCTGGTGGCCCTGGCAGGGCTACTCATGAGTCTCCCGCACTTCATCTCGGAGCGATACCACTATGACCACACCAGCTCTGGTAAGAACCTGAGGGGCTGGGCAGGAGACTGACACAAGGCTGCTCAGTCCTGTACACCAGCAACCCCCCGACAGGCCTGCAGGGGGCAAGATGGGTCCCACCTCCCAGGATACCTGCTAGTCCTCCCACCCTATCCCATCTCCCCAGCGCTATCTATGTGGATCTCTCTGACAGGCCTAAAGTGAGGAGTGGGAGGGCAATAGTCTGCTAGGCCTCTCTTGGTGAGAGCCTGTTCCTATGTCACTGTGGTTTCTTTGAGCTGAGTGTAAATTTTTAACACAATCTCCTTCAGGGCTTGGCATGTGATAGATCCTCAGGAAATGCTTGTAGAATAATAATAGTGCAACACACTACTTCCTGTGCCCCAGATATCATTCGAAGCACATTATGTGTGCTCATGCATTTAATCTTCACAAACAGCCAAGAGGTTGGTGAAAGAAAAATCAACTAATGAACAAACTTAAAAGATGAAAGAATTTTAGACAGGAGTAGTGAAACCCTGTTCATCCCAGTGAGAGTTTGGTGAGGGCCTACTTGACAGAAAGATATCTATCCCTTAGAGAATGACCCAAACAGCCTGAGGATTCACAGCCTGAGCATTCACTTCCCTCCTTCCCTCTCTCTCTCTCTCTTTTTTTTTTTTTTTTTTTTGCTACCAGAGATCAAACTTGGGTCCTTGTGCTAGCGAGGCGGGAGGCAGAACCACTGAGTTAAATCCTTGGCCCCCTTCCCTCTCCTTTACACTCTCCATGCAGGGATCTATCCATTCATCCAGTGATCTGTATAACAAACCTCTAATGCTGCTTACTCTGTGCCTGATCCCTCTCAGGAGGCCAGTCCTTCCCTTCAGGCAAATTAACACAAAACTCAGTGTGGCATTTGTTCAAAGCAGAAAGCAAGGGGTGAAAAGAGGCCAGGGAAGGAGCCTACACCCCAGCCCAATGTCAAGGAAGATGTGCCAGGGAGGAGGCCTGTTCAGGAGCTTCCTTCCTGCCTTACCTCCACATCAGTTCTCACCTCTGAAATGCTGAGACCAGGAGTAGGAAGATGAAACAGATATTGCCAGTAGAGCACAAGTTGGAGTCCAGCATGGGCATTTCTGCTAAAAGGTTGGGATGGAGACCCACGCCTTAGGGTCTGATAGGAGGGAGCTATTAGAACCCAGCCTGGGGGAAGGAGGCTTGCCGATGAAGAGAGATATAGGGCTGGCAAAGGGGTGTAGGAATTGCAATAAAGAGGCAGGGCAGGGGCAGGGCTGGAGAAGCAGACAAGCAGAATGTTTGTGAATGCAAAATTGTTATCTAGGCCTCAGTGAACAGTTGCCAAGATGACTGCTTGGAATGCGGAAAAATACCTCCAGTGTGTGTGAGTGTGGGTGTGTGTGTGAGACTGGGGATTGAACCACTGAACCCAGGGAGCACTGAGCTACATCCCACCTCTCTTTAATTTTATTTTTATTTTGAGACAGGATCTTACCAAGCTGCCCAACCTGACTCTGAACTTGCAATCCTCCCGCCTCACCCTCCAGGATAGCCAGGATTATAGGCATGAGTCCTCGTGTCCAGCACCTCCCCACATTTCTGTGCCCAGGATTTCTTCTTTTGCAGAAGTCCTTCTATGCAGGAACACATATTTCCTTCTTCCTCACCACCAACCACAAGTGCAGCCCTTTGCCAATCTGAGCCTCACATGGACTTGGAGTGGGTGAGGCTAGGTGATCGCTGAGACTCTGTCCTGCGCTGACGGTCCCAGCTGTTTCATTCAAAGCTCCATTATGTGCCAAGCCTTCTTAGAAGCACTAGGTCCCAGGTAGAAAAGGAGACATGATCTCTGGAATAATCACCGAATCCAGTGTCCGGTGGGCACTGAGCAGGGGCACCACTCACTTGACATTCAGAGCTCCGTGGGGCTGATTTCATCATTATTTCCTCACCAGTACAGACACCGAAGCTCAGAGAGCGAGGAGCTTCTCCAGGCCCAGAGCGGGTAGAACTATTCCTGGAGCCCTGCTCCGAACTGCTGAATTATCCTGCTTCTGAACTGCTCATCTATAAAGAACACAGGTTCTAGGAGATCCCTTTGGGAGGTGAAGATCAGAGGGCTGAGGGTCTCTGCCCAGTCACACAGGGAGGCCCAGAAAGCCTCCACTGAAGGCTAGTCCTGAGTTCTTGACCACGGTTCACTGGCTCTTCCAGTCCAAGGGAGTGGCTCTTAGTGGCCCTAGATCCCACAAAGGGAGGGCCCTGGAGAGAAGGCTGCTTCTACACCCTCATTTGGGATAATAATAGTGTGATGGTCTCAAATTTGCTGACCAAATATTGGAGAGCTACAGGGCACAAACACCTGGTACTAAATTAAGAAACTTCTTTCTTGCCCTCTGCAACTGTGTCCTGGGCTGACACTTCTTCCTCCCCACAATGAATGAGCCTTCCAGCTCCCCTGCCTGGCCCACACACTTTGTGATCCAGCCATTCTGAACTTCTCATTCTACCAACCTGGGTTTGCCCATACTGTGACCTCTCCCAGGAATAACCCTCCCTCCCTCTCTTTTGGGAAAGCTTTGTTTGTTCTCCTGGACTGAGTTCAAACCCTACCCCCTTTGACCTCCCCACCCAAGAGCCACTATCACCATGAATTTATCAAATGCCTCTGCCAGAAAGGTGGCACAGGGCAGTTTAAGAGCAGAGCCTCGGGAGCCAGGCCTGGTGGTGCACACCTATAATCCCAGCACTCGGGAGACTGAGGCAGGACGATCGCTGTGAGTTCTAGACCACCCTGGGCTACATAGTGAGTTCCAGGTCAGTTTCAACTACAGAGTGAGACCCTGTCTCAAAAAAACAAAAAAACAAAAAACAAACAAACAAACAAAAAAAGCAGGGACTCTGAAGCCAGACTGCCTGGACAGCCAGTCTTGCCTCTTCCCTGGCTCATTGCCACCTGTTGGCACTGGTTTCCTCACCCATGAAACTGAGTAATGAGGAGACCTGTGCCCTAGCTTTGTTGGGGGAACAAATGATTCCTATCCATAGCACAGGATAGTCCTTTGAGTCTGGCAAGTGCTGTGTCTTGGCTCTGATCCTATTTGTGCTATGGTCTCTCAGAGGATATGTCACAGGACTTCAAGGCTTCCCTGTGTCTGCCTACAACCTCGGCCCCAGCCCCTGACTCCTCCAATGGCAGCTGCTCCAGCTACACAGAGGTCCGGCATGCGACCGTGGTGGGAGTCATGTTCGTGGCACAGACTCTACTCGGTGTGGGTGTGGTGCCCATTCAGCCCTTCGGTATCTCCTACATTGACGACTTTGCCCATCACAGCAACTCACCCCTCTACCTCGGTGAGGTGCCTCCCACCACTCAGGCTCTAGTGCTCAGGCCAGGCTTGGGTAGAAGGAAGAGAGGGCCAGGGTGGGGGCAGGAGACTGAGTCCCTAATCTCTACTCCAGCTGATTGGTAAAAGTCGGGAGAAGATTGGCTGCCAAAAACCTGCCAAGCAAAACCAGGGCTGGAGGTCCTGACCCAGGCTTTGTGTTGCAGGGATCCTGTTTGCTGTGACCATGATGGGGCCAGGTATGGCCTACGGGCTGGGCAGCCTCATGTTACGCCTCTATGTGGACATAGACCGGATGCCAGAAGGTAAGCTTCAAGACCGTGCTCTCATCCCTGCGTACACAGAGGCCAACTCACTGAGCACTGGCCTCACTGACACTGATCCAGGGAACCTAGGAGCACACTCTAGCAGCACCACCAACCTTGGACAAGCCCCTGACCCACTCTGGGCCTTGGCTTTCTTGCCCTCGAGATAATCTCTGTCTTGTCTCTCTCCCAAGGTTCTGGGCCGAATCCAGTAAGGTGACAGAGATAAATTGGAAAGTGCCAACCAATAAGGAGTGATGCTTGCTCTCACTACCATTATTACAAGCCTTCACCTTGTCACATAGCTGCCCTTCCACATCCCTCGAGCTCAGGCAGAACAGAGAAGATGATGGCACCCAAGGGACACCTGGAGTGGGACTTCCAGAGGGCACGTGCACTGGGGGACTTCAATGACCTCCTACTCCTGACCACCTCAGAATCCGGGAAACTGCTGGGGCTCCTTTTGGGAATAGTGTTCTCCCATCTAGCCAGTGGTCAGAACGAGCCAAGAGGTAGGGCTGGAGATTAGTCTGAAGGCAGCCAGGAGGAAGAGACTTGGGGATTTCAGAGCCCTGGAACCCACAGGAAGGAGAATCCCTGCTAGAACCTGTCACTGTGGCTTCTAGGCTGCCTGTTCCGACTCTGAGCCCCAGTTGTGTCTTCTGCCACTCAGAAGTCCTGACCCTTCCCTGGAGATTTTCTAGCAGGCCCTAGAAGCCTGGGGTGACAGCTGCGTGGCTGAATGAATGCTCCCCAGCTTTTGTCTATAGCCAGGACAGGCCTGGTTAGGTCTGTACAACAGTTGCTAGGGGAAGCCCTGATTTGTCTCTGTTCCTTCTAGAATGCTGACTATAGAACAAGACCTGGGCTTTGGTCACAACTGCTCTCTTCCCAGAAGGAAAAGTTTTGTGAGGCAGGGGTTTCCCAGGTTTCTGAGACACACTTTTGCTTGGAGGAAGTAGTGTGCCTGCTGCCCAAATTGGCATCATACTGGCAGCTCCAGTGGCAGATGTGGCATTTCAAGGGACCTATGAGCCATCTCTCGTGTCCTTTTTCTTTGAGGGGGATTTTATAGAGTGGACAGATCTTGCCCGCAGCAGGCACAGACCAGTGTGAGTGGAGGAAGAAGGGAGATATGTGTATGAGTTCTCCCCAGCTTGTTGAGGAGGAGGGACAGATAACAAGCAAGGAACAAATCAAGTCCTATCAGCGCAAAGCCACATGCAGATACACTTGCTGAGAGCCAACTGTGTGCCTTGGCCGCTGCCCAGAAACAGCTCAAGATCAAGCACCTTGGAAAGCAGCAGCTGGCTCTGGTGGTTGGCGTTGTCACGCATTTCTGTGTTTACACAGTATCTGTGGGTGCTATGGAGATTGGAGGAGGATGTCCCCACCTCCTCCCTGAGGCTTAAGAACTTTCATGAGAGATTTGTTCACTGCAGCCAGGAGTACATTAGAATAATTCAGTCCTAATTAACCCCAGATGGGGATCACAGTCACCTAGGTAATCTGTTAAAGGTACACGTTCCTTGGTCATCTTCCTATGGTCATTCTAAATAAGTCTTCAGTGGGGTCAGTAGCTTTGACAAGTACTCATGATTTTCACCAGCATGTGGTTCTGAGAACTAGCACAGCAGTGTTAACCATTATTTAACTTAGTAACGATAATTCTATTTAATAATAATAATCACAGTAGTAATAGAAGTGGAAAGAGAAAGAAAGAAAGAGGAGGAAGAAGAGAAGGAGCAAATGGCTATAGAATACATATTCTTCTACATGTTCTTTACATGTGTCGATCTCTGTTTCTCTCTGTGGATTTTAAAATTTTTAATAAAATTTCTTTTTTAGCTTCACATATACTAGTTTCTATAATTCGCATAACAATCTTATGATACAAAAACTACTGTCCCAGCTATTATTCCCAGAAAACCTATTAATTCTGTACCCATATTGCATAGAGAAAGATACTGAGACACAAAGAGATTAATGTAAGGGCCGGGGATTTAGCTCAGTGGTGGCATCACAAGCAAAGGTCCCAAGTTTGATCCCCTGTACAAAAAAAAGTTAGTAATGGAATAATCCAGACTCAGTAGTCCATGACCTTGAACATTATGCTACATTGCCTTAGAAACTAAAGAAGCTAAGGCCCAGAAAGGGTCAGAGATTTGCCCAAAGTCTCTTAAAACATAAAGAGAAGAGCCAAGAATTCAGGTCTCCTGCCCCCAGGCTGCCTCATGTCTCAGAGGCTAGTCCCAGGGTGGTGGTCTAGAAGAGACAGCCAACCGTGACCCTAACATCACCATCTTTTCTTCCTCCAGGTGGTGTCAGCCTGACCCCAAAGGACCCCCGGTGGGTGGGTGCCTGGTGGCTGGGCTTCCTCATCTCTGCTGGCATGGTGGCACTGGCTGCCAGCCCCTACTTCTTCTTCCCCAGGGAGATGCCCAAGGAGAAGCATGAGCTTCACTTCTGGCGAAAGGCACTGGCAGACACAGCCTCACCTGTCAGCAAGGTAGGACCTTCCGTGACCTGCCTCAGCCCAGGCTCCAGCCCTCATCCACTTGTCCTTCTTCATAATAACAAACATCATCCCTCTCCGGCCCTACGCATCACAGCTTACCAAGCTCGATCCTGTCTGGTCTCCTTTGCGTGCACCCAACAGTCCCGCATAGTGAATATCACCAGCCCCTTCCACAGCAAGGTCTAGGGCTTTATCTGTATTCGGTGGAAGGAACTGGCCCAGACGCATACAGCCAGCAAAGGGATGTGTTGATGAAAAGCCAGCCTTGCCTGAGTCCATGCCCCTCTGTGCTGATCATTCGTGAATTCTGAATGTGCAATAGAATGCTAAGAAGTAGAGGCTGTAGAGGGTGAGTCTGGGAGGGATTTGAGCTGGATTTGAGTGAGCGACATGGAAGGACAGAAAGTGGGGTGGGATTTCTAGGTGTAGAAAAGGCCTGGGCAAAGGCTGTGGCTGTAGAAGAGACACAAAGAGAAGGGGACAAACACACAGCGAGCAGCTCCTCTGGGCCTGGCCCCGGGCTGGACTCCAGAACGCAGTATGTGGTCCTTACTCTTCAAGATGCCTGGCCAATATTGAAGGCTGTCTCTGGGACCTGTCAAATGCCTGCTCAGCTCTCAGCATAGGTGAGCTTTCCTTAGAGGAGAACACCGAAGCCCACCTCGGTCGAGGGACTTGCCTGAGGTCACAAGGCTGGAGAGAGCAGGAGCTTGTGACCCTTGGGCAGGACAGGTGGTTCCAAGTTTTCCAGAAACTCACGAAAATATGAGGCCTGAAAAACAATATACTGACTCCAAATAAGAAAAGAAAATGACCCTCAAAATGTTTATTAAGTTTAATTTTATGTCATTGAGTCCACTTCATTAATTTTTCTTTAATGCTCATACACATTTCATTACACTCTAAAAATTTATGGATTAGATTCCTTCCTCTCCTAAGAATGGGAGGTGGCTGGTGGAAAACCACAATCATAAATTGTGTAATTCTAATTTCAATGGGACAATTTGTAAAACTCCTGTCAGATATTTTGCAACAAGGAGAATTCTATTTACTGTGGCATTTGAATACGTTAGAACAAGAAAGTTTGGGCCTGGGAGGAAGGGCTGAAGAGTTCTCTGACTAGAAAAGCTGGGGTTTGAGCCCAAGTCTGTCTGACTCCCTGCCCCAGCTGCCCTACAAAACCTCCCCACCGTACCCCACCCCACACCACCCAGGCTGGAGAGAGGGTGGACACAGACCAAGGAAAACCAACCAGAGGAAAGGCTTTAACCACTGGCTTCAGGATAGTGGCAGCCTGGAAGGAGGTGACAGATAAAGGACTGTGAAGAACAAAAGGCTGTGTAGAGAGAGGTGACAAGCAGCTCTGCAATGCAATGGGAAGACAGGAAGCAGTGCATTGGCCAGAAGGGGGTGCAGATGGACCCAAGCACTGCCTGGGAGTGGGACTGCTGGGACTGAGCTGGAACTGGATATACTGGTGTAGAGACAGGGGAAGCAGCAAGGGGAACAAACCAGTTTCAACAGCAGAAGACAGCCTGGAACCTCGCTCAGATTCTCTTTCCCGGTTCTGCCTACCTCAGACAAAAATCTGGAGGACAAAACTCTGGAATTCCTGGAACTCGGGGAAGAGTCCTTGGAAGTGGGGTAAACTCAGAGGAAGATGTGAGGCTGGGTTGCTGGGCTGCTGGTTGCAGATGCACGCTGTGTTGGGCCCCACCTCTGAGCAGAGAGGAACAGTGGTGGTAGTGGAATGGATAGATGGAAGGCACAAGGTTGGGGCGAGCGAGTGTCTGTACTGGGCCCTGTCACATTTCAGCTATGTGACCTTGAGCAGAAGTCACTTCCCCATTCTGCACTATCTTATAAGGCGCAGAGGTTGGATTACTGGAGCGATGCTCTGTTCGCCTCAGAATCTGAGAATGCGTAATTCCCAAGTCAAAGCTGCTGTGACTTGGGAGTCAGAGTTTGCGAGCTGAGTGCTGTGATGTCTTGAAACGCTGGCTCCCCGGCTGTGAACCTGTCTGGCTGTCTGCATTTATGCTGTCGGCACAATGGGGATATGGGGAATGGGGAGGGTAGGGGGTGAGAGGTTCTTAAAAAAGAACTGGAGACTGAGAACATGACGATCTGCTTCCAGTCACTCTCAGGCAATAAATATTGATGTGGGAGGAATCACTCCGCATCTCCTTGAGGCTGCCTTGGCTGGGCTGCTTGCAGGAATGCCGGCTGGCTTGGCCCACAAGGGCCACTGATGGGGCCCAGCATAGATCAAGGGGATAGGCCAAGCCAGGCAGAAGTGGCTGCCAGAAATTCCAGGTCCCCATATAAGGGATGTGCATTTTCTGCCAAGAGAGAGAATGGGCAGGGGGGAGAGGGTGAAAGAGGAATGTTTTAGAAATCCCTTCCAGCACTTCTCCCAGGCTTAGGGTTCAAGTACCCCGCCCCCAGATACCCTCCTACCTAGAAGTATGCAATTTTTAAAGGTATTCAGGAGATGGTGGTAAATGATATAAGGATTACTGTATGTGACCTGGAGAGGGTCTTGGACCTCGGTCTCCCAATCTGTACTATGGGCAGTAGGTTGGACACAGTCTGCCAGCTGTGGCACATATAGTGGCTTTGTGTTTCTGAACTTTTTCACAGGGGAAATGAGTAATGCATCCTACACTGCCCATGCCAAAGAGCTCTGAGGTAGTAAAGAAAAGCAACAGGCACGGGGAGAGAGAGAGAGAGAGGCACAGTTCAGGTTGTTGCTGTGCCTGGGACCGTGGGATTCTGTGCCTGAGGGCTCTGTGGAGAAAAGATGGCCTCTTAGGGGCTCCCTGACAGATCCCCTGTCCCCATTCAGCCAGCACTTCCTGTGCTCCCTGGTCCTTCTCAGAACCTGTGGTCCGGCCAGCTGCTCACCAGCAGACAAGGCTCTTGCATTAGGGACACAGGTCCAGCCCAGCCTCTGGACATCACTAGGCTCTGTGACCTTCACTTGGGTCATATTTACCAGGAGGCTATTTGTCTGTTATTTCTGTGATGCCTCTGAGAGTTTGGGATTCTAATATACACACACTGTTTTAAAGTTCTGTGTTCCTAATAGTTGGAGACCTGAAGTACTTCTATTCTATTATTTTGAGGCTCTATGACTGAAATAGTTTATGATACTCCAAATCCACATTACTCAATGGCTACAATTTTGGCTAAGAGTCTATAAGCCCAGGATAAGGCCCATTGCCTCCCCATGTCTTCAGTGTTACTTTGGAAGAACTGTCAGGGCTGAGGAACGGTATCGGGAGGTGGCAAGGATCCTTAAAAGCCAAGACTTAAGGGCAGTCCGTTGGAATCTGCCCATACACCCTGGGACTTTTGTGGGACTTTTGTGCTCCCACTGTAGCCCAGGCAACCTGTATTCCAAGGTGATACAGGCCTTACTTTCCTCTTACTCCCCCTGGCAGGCCCTGCCTCTAGTCTCCTTCCAGCCAGTCTAGGAGCCCTTTGTGTCTTTCCCTGTGCCCTGCAGTCCAGGGCTGCCACTCTAAGGTTGTACAGATGAAGGGACTGAGGCCCAGAGACTCAGTGATGTGTCCAGAGCTAGGTGGCCTTTGCACTTGTCTGTACAAGGCCAGGTTATAACCCCAAAGGGCTGATAAGAGGCCTCCCCCTGACTGGGTTATGTGGGGCTTCCAGGTACATCAGGGCCCCTTTGTAATATGCTTTAGGGTTTTCAAACTACAGAACTGCAAGGGTGCTATCATAGGGAGTATAAGGGGCATCTCTGAGAAGAGCTGAGGATCTTCTACCCCCCAGCCCTCACACACACACTCCAATCAGAGTAGCTGTACCTTTATGCATTCTTATATACCGGTCTTTCAGTCTTTTGGTTTTCCTGTGTTCATTTCAGGCCTTACAGAGTTTTACTCCAAGCTACAACTCCAGCCCCCTGTCTGTCTTTAGAACAAGATTGCAAATAGGGAACAGATTCTGTTACTTAAAATCAGCTAATCGAGTCCAGTACCTCCCTGTAACAGAGAAAAACACTGACGCTAAAGAAGACACAGGAGAGGTAGCTGATCTGGTCCCCGGGACACATGCAAGTTTTCTCCATGTTTGAGTCATGCTGCAGTGGTAGGCAGGGAGGGAGTAGATACATGGTGTCTGTACCAAACTGGCCCAGCTCTGCCACTTAATAACTGAAATATGTAAAATGGCATAAGCATGACATCTACAACTTGGAGTTTTTGTAAGAATGCAATAAGGCAAATCGTGGATAGATGGTTCAGTGTCCCATGTATAGGCTCAGCGAACAGAAGCACTTATTTTTAGCCCCTTTCTTTGATCAGGCCAGGTCTTAAGAGAAGAAAAATTGTTTTCCCCTCAAATGTTCTTTTTTAAAGCTTCTCTTTTTCTTTTAAATTTTTAAAAAAATTTTTTCAAATTTATTTTTGGCAAGTTAAAAATTGAACATGTTTATGGTGTAACAAACGTGGTTTTGGTATAGACATGCATTGTGGAGTGGCTGAATCAAGCCATTTAAAGTATGCATTACTTTACATACTTATAATTTAAATATCATTTAAGCTGAAAACCCTTAAAATCTACTCTCCCAGCAGTTTTCAAGCATACAATATCTGGTTAGTACTATAGTCACCATGGTGTACAGTAGACCCCTTAATTTATTCCTTCTGTCTGCATGATATTTTGTGTCCTTTGATCAACAACTCCTCGACCCTCTCTCCCCAGCCCCTGGCACCCTCTGTTCGACTCTCTGCTTCTCTGATTTCCACTTTCTTAGACTTCACATATAAATGTGATCATGTGGTATTTGCTTTTCTGTGCCTGGTTTGTTTCACTTAATAATGTGCTCCAGGTTTATGTCGTCACAAGTGACAGGTTTCCCTCTTTTTTATATCCCTACAAACACCGTGCAAGGGTTCCTGTCAGGCTTTATAAATGGATGTGTTCCCCTCATCCAGAGCCTCATGTACTCATAGGGGGTTTGG